AACTTGGGAGCAGGGGAGCGTGCAAACTCATTCGCTGTTCAAAGCAACTAGTGGCTCCCTGCCCCAACCAGGGGCACAAGGTACCTAGAGGGAGCCGCCAGCCATTTTGAACAGCAAATGACTTCTCGCACGCTCCTCCACCCCAGCCCTGATTGGTCTAGGAGCAGGGGACATGCACGAGGTCTCCTCCTTCTGCCAAGGGTCTGCAGCACCTAAGGCAACTGCCAGCTGTTCAGAATGGCTGATGATTCCCTATAGGCATTGTGCGCCCCTGGCAGGACAAGGGCAAGGACAGGGGAGTGTGCACAGTCTCCTCCCCCCTTCTAGGGCAAGCGGGGCCTAGAAGGAACTGCCCCATTTTGCTTGAGGCCCCACCCCTTTCCATCTGAGGCCCCACCTCTTCTGCAGGCAGAGTTGGCTCACAACCACAATCAACATTCATGAAGTGGCCCCCCCTGCCAAAATTATTGCCTATCCCGATGTAGAGGCATTTTGAGCGAGGGAAACAGTGCCAAAGAAACAAATATCACACCATTGTCATCACAAGAAAATACAAGTTGAGTCTTTGATAATGTCCTAAAATGAAGAATTATAGGAAAGTGGCCAAGAGGAGGGTCAGAAAATTGATGCCTTTAACTTAAAAATAAAAAAAGGCATCTCTCCTCTCCTGGGCAGTGAAATAACTGGAGGGGAAATCTTGAAAAGAAGTATCTAATAGAAGCAGGATCCTGATTATTGCCCGTAGCGCCAGTACTAATTTCTGAGCTAGTATCAGTCCTGCTATGCCAGCTTTAGCCGTAGAAACACTTAACAGTAGATTCCATGCAGATTCATGAGTAAACATTGTATCTGCAGACTGGAGAACAAGAGGAAGATGGCACACCTCCTGTTTTTAAACTAGTTGATTTTTTAAATTAAAGAAGAGGGGCAGATTATGGGACTGGGTTATGGAAGGGGTGAAGTGGACACAGTTCATGGGAATACATGGTCCCCCCTGCTACTTCATGAAACAAGATATTTTGGAGATTGTGGAGGAAGGGAAAGGACCAGGAGTCAGGAATAAACACATGTTGGAAATAGACACACTAAGCTAGTATTGAACCCTATTATCATGGTAGAATCAAAAGCAGAAATAAGTCAGATTCATTTCAGGAAGAAAAAAAAAAAAAAAAGCCAGTCACATCGGGATAACACATACTGAACAAGAGGGTGAGTCTAGACAGCCTTACTGAAAGATGCAGACAGACTGTTTGAGAGCAGTGGACACTGATGCAGTCATATAAAAGGCCAATGCCATTTGTGAGAACATACACAGAAGCCATATGTGAAAAAGTACGCAGACTCTCTCTGGTGCACCTGCAATAGTGTGTTCAGTCCTGGAACAACAGTTCTAAAAGATGATGACAAACTCAAGGGAGTTCAGAGAAGAACAACAAACGTGATCAAGGGAATCGAGGAAATTGCTTGAAATTAAATAATTAAATTGCGATGCTAAACAATTATTGGGGCTGGGGGAATAACATGATTAGACCCTCAAATATTTCTAGACATATATAGATATGAAAGTGTGTGTGTGCGCACAAATATGTACACTCTTATTTGTACGCTTAGATAAAAATGGGGAGGAATTAGCATGGACTATATGCCTATAACCAGGAGTAATGAGGTGGGGGGAGAGGGAAAAAAAAAAAATCAGGAAAGAAGAATTTAGGCTTACTGCCAAGAAAACCAGCTTGACAGAGGCATGTATGAGCCTGTAAAAATAGCCTTCTGCAGGGGGGCAGAAGTCTCATCCCATGGTGCTTTTACAAGTAGAATGGACAAAATGATCCAACAGGCCTTTTACCATGAACTCTTGTCATTATTATCTATATACTAGCCAATTAGCCCGTCATAAGACGGGATTTTCAGGTCCCTCCTCCTCCTCCTCCTCCTCCTCCTCCTCCTCCTCCTCCTCCTCCTCCTCCTCCTCCTCCTCCTCCTCCTCCTCCTCCTCCTCCTCCTCCTCCTCCTCCTCCTCCTCCTCCTCCTCCTCCTCCTCCTCCTCCTCCTCCTCCTCCTCCTCCTCCTCCTCCTCCTCCTCCTCCTGAGCGGCGCAGAAGTCAGCCGAGCGCTGCGAAGGGGGGCGGGGCGGTGACATTCACAGCCAGGGGGCAGGGCCTGGAGCCGTTGTCACACCGCACGTCACTGTCCCGCCCCCCTTCCCCTCCCGCCATGGCACTCGGCTGACTTCTGCACCGATCAGCCAGGCCGCCGCGGGGGAGCAAGTGGCCTTTTGGGCCCCGCACTCCCCATGCAGCATGGGCCGCCCAGAGGGAACAGCCAGCATTTCGGCGGTACAGACTCTCAGACACTGGGCTACTATATCTATATCTATATATGATACCTTCATAGTAATCATACATTGTATTGCCTATACCCAGTTATATTTTGTTTCAAGTACTGATCTTATCCCAGTTGGTCATAAAGTGACATCAGCAGTATGATTGCTATGGAAGAATTACTATGCTTAACAACAACAAAAAAGAAAGAGAGAGAGAGAGAGATGTCACTGCTCTGACATGGTTAAGAGTACCACCTAGCCTTTAAGAAACCTAAATAACGCTTTGTGCAACACTCCCATGCACCAGAACAGTATTCACCCAAAGGAGTAGTTGTTTAGCATTATACTGTATATCAGGAGTGGGCAATAAAAACAAAAAACTGCAGCCCACAGGGTTAGTCCCTGGCAAGGGGCTGCCACTAGGTGTACCCATGCCTCCACAGATATCGGAGGATTGCAGCTCTGGTTGAGCGGTGGGAAGTGTCATGGACTGGGATGCCATTTCCCACTGCTCATGTTGGCTTCGAATAGCAATTTGCACCCAACGAGAGCTGCAATCGTCTGATATCTGCAGAGGCACAGATAACATGGAGGTGGGGGCCAGTCAGGGATTAACCTTGCGGAATGGATCTGGCCCACGAGCTGGAATTTGCCCACCTCTGCTTTATAAAATTCAATATGTGGATGCCAAAAACCTTTTCACTGTGTGATATGCCCGCTTAAGACCACGTTATTTTAGTATCATAACAGTTACTTTATAGAGGACAGTATATAGCATTTTAATCTCTACCTCGTATTTCAGTGGAACTACTTGCATAGCAAGGTATTATTATTCACTGTGAGCAGAAGTGGAAGAATTAGAACCTTAAGGTTTTGCAAGGTCAAGCCTGTAGTATTTACCAAGTGTGGGAGGCTACATCACATACTTTGAACTTTTTTTAAATAGGCCACACCCACTTGATAGCTGTGGTAGCATTCGAAAGCCTGCTTCTCCATTCTGAACTGGTTTAAGCAGTTTACAACAAAGCAGGAACTTTCAAGATCAGAATATAGAATCCTAACGTAGAGTAACACAAAGCTAGTATTCATTAAATACATGGATATATTTAAAGATGCAAAAGAGCCAGAGGGTGAAAAAACACCATTATCTCAAAACAAAAAAGTTTTTTTTTTTAAGTTTCCTTTCCCATTTTAGAAATAACTTTTTAAATTTAAATTATATTTATATTTTATTTTATTTAAAAAAATGTCTTTCAACTTAAATAAAAAAACTATTTACACTTACATCTCTCTCAGCTTGAGCACTTAGAATAGACTAGAAATTAAAGATTCTCACTTTTTTCAGAGACCTCCTCTTAATAAAGATGGCCTCAGGAACAACAATTGCATGGCATCTCTCTGTTAATGATAATACTTACATGGATATGTGTGATATATTCATGTATATTTAAATGTCTTTATTGTCACAGGTATTTTGACATATTTGAAAAAAATACTGTCTTTCACTTTTAGTTTCCTCCCCATCACTCATAGTTCCGTTTATTGTGTTTCCCTTGCACATTAGCTTCTTTCTCTCCCCATTCTCCACTACTACATATGCCTCTTTTCTTCCGCAGGCTTTTTCGCTTTTTTCCATGCCTCTGTAAGTACAATTCCAATCCCACGGGAGGTTCTGATTCTACAGGTGCCTTCCCTACATCTCATTGCTAAGCTAGCTCTGGTCCCAGAGGACAGCCCATTTCTTCTACTGATATGTAGACCAGACTTTCATATCTTTTTATGTGAGCCTAAGCTGCTCTGGGGATCTTTACAAGCAACTAGACACAGATAGGAAGAGACCTGTCATGTCTTCACAGACCAGCAGCACAGCTCTATTCGTCAAATTGTTCCAAGAATAGTTTCCGGTATTATTGTTATTTCCTAATCAATTTCATTTTTAGATTCTTGGGTATATTCCTAATGCAGAAGTGGCCAAGTTACAAAACTGCAGAGGAACATTTGTTTTTAACATGTATTCCTATATGGGAGGTGGAGGGATACACACGAGATCAGGTCTGTTAGTTCACAAACACAAAGACTAGATTTCAGAGCAAAATTTGCTCACGCGTGTCCTTTGCGCACAGTATTAGGTTTTAAAAATGTGATTGTTTTGAAATGGGGACCTTCCTCCAATGTTTCTTGACAAGCTGCTTTTTAAAGGGTGGCTTTTCAAATGTGGGGCTTTGATCCTAGAAAGAGATCCACAGGCAGACCCCCACAGAAATCAATAAGGGCAGACGGGTCTGCCTACGCAGAGCTGTAGTGACTTCAGTGGAGGACTACCTGCATGGAGCAATTTGTAGGGTAGCGATGAGGAGGGAGAAAGAAAGGAAACGCTTGTTCAAAACAGCTCTAGCTACTGGCTTGTCATTAGCCTCCATTGTTAGTTGAAGTTTTGAAATGCAGCTTATTAACACTGAGAACTATGTCAGGAAAACATAAAAGAGAAATGAATTTGGTACGTGAGCCTTAAGGTGATGTACATAAACCTGCTTGCATCAAGGCTGGATTCTGCTTCCCCTCTTTAAAGAGTGGGTCCCACCAAGTATTACATCCTCAGAGACCTCGCATCTGAAGCTTTGAAATCAATTTGAGAGAAAAAGAATAAACACTTTACAAGAATGTAAAAACAACTTACCAAAAGAGTATTCTCAAAATATTTGCTACTAATAATACTAGACACACGTAGGTTGAAAAGCCCTCTGCATTCTGTGTTCTTTTGATGTCTCTGTACTGGGGGATATATGGCACCACACCTCCAAATACCATTGCACCAGCTGCACCCCAGGAAACCAGCTGGTGCATTGGAACCACCAGCCACTTCAAGCCATCTGCCTCCATGCCCAGCAAAGCTGTGCAGCACCAGGGCCACCACTGGCAAAGGATTGCACTTTCACTGTTTCTTCAGACTTCGTTAATTTTAGTCACACACAGTCCTCCTGGTACAACATGTTCCCATGCTTACGTCATCTCTCGCACAACTGTCACCTGAAAAAAGAAGGAATACAAACCCCGCCTGCCTATGGTCAGGTCAGAGAAAACAGCCTCCAGTGTCACAAGTTAGCTCAGGGGTAACCAGAGAGGTCAAACATATGGAGTTGTATGGTCCATGACTAGAGTTCCCAAGTGCTACAGTAATACCAATAAATAAATACAGCACAGCTTGTGTCCAACCTCATCTGATCACTAATACGAAACATTTCTTGCTGTCTACTTCATTTTTCTATAAAATTAGTACCAGTGGCATAGCTATAAGAGTGCAAGAGGTGCAGTTGTACAAGGAGTCACGAGGCTATTGGGGACGGCAGTCAAGGATGTGGGGGACAAAGAGGAGCTAAAAAGAACTGGGGGTGGGACTGGATCTTGGCTAGTGGATTTGAGGAAAAGCCTGAGGAAGGGGGTTGGAGGGAGCTGGGAGGACCAGATCAGAACTGGTGGAGAGTGAGTGGAGGCTGTGGGTCTCGGGGAGAGGGGAAGCTAAGCAAGAGGGAGGATTGGATTGTGGCTGTGGGAGAATGGGAGGGAGCTGGACACTAGATTGGGGCTGGGAAGACCCTACACAGAGGCTAGGGAAGTTCCCAGCCGTCAGTCCGCAGACAGGTGCCAGCGGCCGTGACAGCTGAAGTGGCGGCAGGAGGCGCCTCCCTCCCTTCTTCCTGCTCCCCCCTCGTCCACACTTGAGGAGACGCACTTGGGGAGGGAGAGGGCGCGAATGGGGAGGGAGTGTGCACGCATGCTGCCAACGGATGCTCTCCCTGGCCGTGCAGCCAATTTTGCCACCAGTAGCGCTAGGGCTGAGGCAGCGGCAGCAAGGGGTGGAGTAAAAGGCGCCTTCCTCCCCTCTCGGTATTGGTGTCTGGCTGGGGCACCATGCTCCAGGGATGTTAAATTGCATGTAATCAGCTAATCGACTTTCCATCGACTACTCGATTAGTCAATAAGAGGGCAAACTGCAGAGCCACAGCAGGGTTAGCTTCTGGCCCCGCCTCTGCCTTTTAAATGTATTAAGAGCCATCGGACTCTTAATACATTTAAAAAGCAGAGGGCAGAGTCTGGGACTGGGAACGCTTAGGCCCCGTCCCAGCTATGCCTCTATCTCCCCTTCTTCCCCCCCCCCCCCCCAACC